AAACGGAAGCCTCGCTCCTTCTTTGGGAAACCATTCATGTGAATCACAAATGATTCCTTAGCTTGCACTTTATTGTGTCTGGTTCCAGGCACCTAGAGCAGACTTTGGAAATTAATATTCTTTCCTCTGTGCTGAGATAAGTCATATTATAACTGTTTCATACGAATCAATAGGAACATTTAATTGTTTATAAATAAAGTATAAGGGTATGTGGGGGAGGATAGCATATTTTCCCCTGAACAGAGCTAAGGGCGGGCAAGTCATCCTCTTTTTAAATAAACCTTAATCTGAAAAATATTTTTCTCAACAAAAGAGGCCACAAAACAGAACAAAATACACATCTCTCCAACAGTCTCAGAGTGGCCAAGCAGGAGCCAAGACTTGGAGTCTTCTGAAGTAAAGACATAGGGCAAGGGCGGCAGTGTAAGCCCATTCACATTACAGAGCCATCTTTCCTGAGCTGAAACACTAAAATGTGCTGGAGGAAGCAAACATTCTTAGAAATGCCGCTGATATAAACTCCATACTTAAACCATGTCCTTTGCAAGGGGAAAGTAAAGACTAAAAATTGCCTGGAAATAGTAATAAGGGAACTTATACGAGGAAGTGACACTTCCAAAGCACGGGACATAAGAACAGTGTGGGATGCACAGACTTGGATGGACAGTGTGAGGAGAGACCGAGACAGAAAGTTTAGTGCAGAGACGTTCCCCTTAGCCTTGCCTGGCTGAGTTTTCACCAATTCTTTAATGAAGGGAGTTGATGTGAAAGAAGAATATTTGGAGCGTGAGTACTATTGGCCACCTATTATGTCATGTAGCCCAAGGTCAGATACATTTTCTAATTTCTTTTGCATGAGTTTTGCTTACATGTATAGAACACTGATTATCATTCATAGTCCATAGAAAAGAATATTTCGTTGCCGTTAATTGTAGATTTCATGAAATCTTTAGTCTGGGGCACCTCTCCTGATGTAGTTAAGATCCTGATGCACAGTGTGGTGAATGAGAAGAGTGCACCCAGGGGGAGTGATGCTTTCTTGGGGGTGATTTCCACGTGTTTGTGCTACCGGGGCCACCTTTCCAAGCAGTACATTCAAGGAGCTCCTAGGCTTCAGGCCATGCATGTATCTCCAAAGCCACAGACAGACCTAGGCATATATACAGTGCCAACCCTGTGGATGCTGTTTTTAACTACTAAAGTGATGGGCACAAAGAAGTCTCCCAGTGGTACCTCTGTATCTCTTCTAGGCACCTGCCTCTTTCTCTCCCCCCCTTCAATTATTTTTATTGTGGTAAAATATACATAACAAATATTTCCATCTTCACCATTTTTTAAGTGTTCAATTCAGTGGTATTAAACACATTCTTAATGTTGTGCAACCATCACCACTATGATCTCTACATCTCTTTTCATTTTGTAAAACTGAAATTCCATACTTATTAAACATTTCTCTCTCCCTTCGGCCTCTGGCAACTACCATTCTACTTCCTATTTCTATGAATTTTTGTCTGGCTATTTGCTTCAAAACATTCTAGTTGCCCAAGGAGACTGGGGGAAGGTGGTCAAAATTTGGAGATGTAGGAAATACAGCTAAGGAGAGTGGGACTTGTACTTTGTCAAGCACCCAATACAGTTAGTTATATGACCTTGCACAAGTTCCTTAAGCACACTGGCCTCTGTTTCCTCATTTGTGAAATGGGGATACTTACCACTATGATTTTTATGAGGAAATGAGGAATTAATACATGTTAAATGTACAGAGCAGTATCTGGTGCATCATGGGGATGATGATCTCTCATTAGGATAATTGACCTTGGTTAATTAGCTAATTCAAGCAGAAAATGAAGCTATATATACCTGACATAATCCCACTGGTTGTGTGGGATTGGAAATGCAGTCGTGAGGATGGTTTGATGTTCAAACAGCCTGTTGACTCTTTCATGTTGACATCAACTTCTTCACGTTGTGTTGCCTTGCAATGTTATTTCCTGTTGAATTTACCCTATGGCAATGTAAAGGATACAAATAAACCAACACGCCTCACACAGAAGGAAATGCATGTGTGTATCACTGAGGTTAATAACCATGTGAGTGACCATGCCTTTTTCTGGAAAATGTTGGCTATTATCAGAGAAAGTGTTAGAGGAGCTAATATAAAATTGCTATGGAAGAAATTGGCATTTTTTTTTACATAACAACATTGTTGCTTTTAATAGTTTAAGAGATTATATGGTTTGAGATTAAAAGGCCAAACTGAACATGTGTGTATACCTGCTCCACTCGCTTTGCAAATAGTGACCAGAGCATTTTAAAATTCTACTCCTACCTTGATACTGTTAATTGTTTCCATGACACTAGCTCTTGAGAGTGGCACTGAGCATAGTCAGCCATTGCAAGTGATGGATTAGGTAGTAATTGATGTGTGTTACAAAACTTACATCTGGGCCTTCCACCAACTGAGAGTCAGTTTGATTTGATATGCCAAAAGGATTTGCAAAGCATTTAGTGTTTAATTTATAGTGATTTACAGAAAAGTGCCCTTACGATGACTTTGAGCTGGTAGCAGGTTGAGTTCCCACAGAGAATATGCTTTCATTGTCTTGATTTCTCCAAATGGCAAATCCACATGGCTTCCCGGGGCTTTCTCTTCCGTTTGTTATGCTGCACAGATAGGATTGGCAGTGCTAAGACTGTAATTCACCGTGCTGTGGTTTATTTTGGGGTGACTGAATAATACTTGGATTATTAAAAACTGGGAATCAAGTACTTTGATGATAATGTTCGAATATTTTAAATCTTTATAAATTTATGGGAACAACATTTTTTCAATTCAAAGTCTATAGTGTTGGCCCTACAAAAATTGGCACACCTTACACTTTGTTTTGGTTTCCTACATTCCTCTCTTTCTATCATGTTAACTTGCTAGTTAACAATTTACAAGCATTGAATACCCTCCTCCTCTCTGCACCTCTCCTTCCTTAGCGAAACTTGCGAAATCTGATATATTTTATTTTTGTTTATGGATTTCACCTTAGTTTAATTAAGTTTTTGTCTATATTTTACCCTTCCTGAGTATTTGTACATTAGGCTTTTTTGTTTCTGGTTGGGAAGCAAAATGTTCTTCTCTATTAAAAAAAATCAACAAGGGACTTTTTCTGGAACTTGTTAAGACAGTCTGATATAATTCTAGATCTTCTTGTCAGACAAGCACTGGAGATAAACTGACTTAATCACCCTGGAGAGACCCAAAAGAGAATCATCAGGAATCATGTTCCACTCAGCTGTGGCTGCTAGAAGCAGGTCCCAGGTGAGGAACAATATGTTTGCTGTCTTCCATTAACTATAGGTCTCCAATATAGGTTTCCAGTGTAGTGCTTCTCAATCTTTCATGTGCATGTGAGTCACTTCTTATTACAATATTGATTCTGATTTAGTAGATTCTGAGTGGGACCTGTGATTCTACATTCTGAATTTATTCTATGTGATGCCAATGTGGTTGGTCCACAGACCACATCTCTTACAAATCTTCTTTCTTTCTCTTGACTTTCTTCTTTTCCTGAGATGAAGTTTATGTAGATATACATTATGGCACATTTAAGGTTATTGTTACAAGTGATTGGGACATTACACATGATAATACCTTTAAAGTAACCAAATGGCACCATTCATTCAAAAAATATTAAGCATCTACCATGTGCAAGGAATATTTCTATATACTAGGCACATAGGGGTATACAAGACAGAACCTTACCCTTATGGAGCTTTCATTCTACTAGGAGAAGCAAATAATAATAAAGAAATATATAAAATCATGCAAAATGGAGATAAGTGCTATATAGAAAAATAGGCTAAGGTGGGAGGAAGGGAATGATGGAGTAAGGGTGTGGGAGATGTAGGTCTACAGTAGGGTTGGCTTGAATGACACCTCTCTCCTCCTCTTCAAACCTCAACAAAGTTTAAATTAGTAACAATAATTAAATTATTGTTAATTATTAAATAAGCTAGTATTTCATTCAAATACTAGAAATCTAAGGAAAGATTTATTGAATAAAAACAAAAAGTTGCATTTTTCCGATGCTACAAAATTTGAGTTTGCAAATGTAGTATAGTAAGATTCATTGAATTATATGGTTCTCCCTCGGGTAAACCACTCACTATATGACATGTATAAGCTTTTCTTGGCTATGAGGGCAGCACTTATGTTACCTATTGTCATTTTATGTGGTGTAGAACATTAATGACTTCTGGAAAAATCAATGAACCTTTAACAAAAAGACTTACTGTCGAGAACCTATTTAGAATAGAACCATATGGATATAGTCAACTGATTTTTGATAAAGGAGAAAAGGCAATACGATAGAGTAAAATAGACTTTTTAACAAACGGTGCTGAAACAACTGAACATCCACGTGCAAATAAATGTCTAGACACAGACCTTACACTGTTCACAAAAATTAACTCAAAATGGAGCATAGATCCAAATGTAAAATCCAAAACTATCAGACTCCTGGAAGATAGCATAAAAGAAAACCAAGATGACCCTGGGTGTGGTGATGACTTTTTAGATATAATGCCAAAGGCATGATCCATGAAATAAATAATTGATAAGCTGGACTTCATTACAATGAAAATCTTATGTTCTGCAAGAGACAATGTCAGGAGAATGAGAAGACAGTCCACAAACTGGGAGAAAATATTGCAAAAGACACATCTGATAAGATTGTTATCCAAAATATACAAAGAGCTCTTAAAACTTAAGAATAAGGAAACAGACAACCTTATTTTAAAAAATGGGTGAAGGATTGTTATAGTAATAAGTTTAGTACATATAAGTAACCTTAACTTGTATTAGTCTGAAACTTCGCTTCTGGGTTTTACTTCTAATACAAAAGGGATTAGTATAAGCAAACTCCATTTTGTGTTGGAGGTGAATGTTAGACGTGAAACTTAACCTACATGTGTGTACCCCGATAAGTACTTTGTAGCCCCCTGCGTGTGTACCCTGATAAGCCCAGAAGGCACCACTGGAGCACACTGATATGAGACACTGAAGATGCCCCTCCATCGGGTATAAAAGAAGGACCCTCACACCAGCAGCCAGACGCCTGTCTGCCCTCCACAGACGAGACGTCATTCTTACCCCCCTGGAACCTGCTGTTCCTGCTCTGCCCTGAGCCCAGATTGTTAGAGGCCTTTCTTCGAGTCAAGAGACCGAGCATCTTCCGCGGCGTATCTGACGACCTCCGTGTGTCTCTGTCAGCGAGTGTCTCCGGGTGGCCTGCCAAGGACTGAAACCCATCAGCGCTCTGGTAAATAAACCTGTGTGATTCTTGTATTCTGTCTCCTGTGTCTCCTCTCTTCTTAGTTTTGGTTTAAGCTCAGCCTAAATAATAAAGTACCCTTTGACATCTGTATTGGTATATCCAAATGAGGCGCACTGGGTCACCTGTGCATACGCTCCCATAGAAATGGAACAAGGATCTTAATAGACACCTCACCAAAAAAGATACACAGAGGGCAAATAAGCATATGAAAATATACTTCATATTATATGTCACATTAAAACAATAATTTACCACTACATATTTATTAGAATGACCAAGATCCAGAATACTGACAGCACTAAAAGTTACTGAGGATACAGAGTAAAAGAAACTCTCATCCTTTTACTGAGGAGAATGCAAAATGTACAGCTACTTTAAAAATATTTCTATTTAGATAGATCAATTTATTGTTCCACTTATTTATACAATCATTTTTTGACTCTTGTATGTGTCCTGACAGGGGATTGAACCCACAACCTTGGCATATCAAGATGAGGCTCTAACCCAGCGGTTCTCAACCTGTGGGTTGTGACCCCTTTGGGGGTCGAACGACCCTTTCACAGGGGTCACCTAAGACCATGGGAAAACACATAAAAATTACATATTGTTTTTGTGATTAATCACTATGCTTTAATTATATTCAATTTGTAACAATGAAAATACATCCTGCATATCAGATATTTACGTTATGATTCACAACAGTATCAAAATTACAGTTATGAAGCAGCAACAAAAATAATTTTATGGTTGGGGGTCACCACAACATGAGGAACTGTATTAAAGGGTTGCGGCATTAGGAAGGTTGAGAACCACTGCTCTAACCAATTGAACTACCTCCCAGTGTTACAGAAAAAACCGGACCAGAACCAAACAGCGCTCTGAGAGTTTGGAGTTACACCTTTATTCACCGCGGCGGGCTCAGGGAAATGAATCCAAATCTAAGCAAAGCTACGAGCAGAACTTCCCTTTTTATAGAAGAGCCAGCCCTTTGTGTGCTTGCTGGCGGCGGCCTTGAAAACTATACAGTTCTATCCAATTAAAAAATGCACCTGGCATGGCATTGGGTGTATCTAGTCTCTAGCCTACAAGGTCAGAGAGCTAAGTTTATCTCCCCCACTATTCAAAGAGGCCGTCTAAAGAATAGCAGAGAATTCCAAACAGTATTTTTACAGAATAGGGGTTTTCCTTCACACCAGGGCCTGATACAACTACTTTGGAAGACAGTTTGGTGGCTTCTTAGAAAGCTAAATATACTCTTACCATATGATCCAGCAATCATGTGCCTTGGTATTTACCCAAAGAAGTTGAAAATAGGTCCACACAGAAACCTATACATGAAACTTTATAGCTGCTTTATCTATAATTGCCAAAACTAGGAAAAACCAAGAGGCCCTTCAGTAGGTGAATGGATAAATAAACTGTGGTACATCCAGACAATGGAATGTTATCCAGCACTAAAAAGGAAATGATGAAGCCATGAGAAGACATGGAGAAGTCTTAAATGTATATCACTAAGTGAAAAAAGCCAATCTGCAAGGCTACATACTATATGATTCCAATTTTGTGACATCCTGGAAAAGGCAAAAGTGTGGAGATAATACAGGACTAGTGATTCTCAGGGGTGGGGATGGGAAGAGAGGATTTTTAGGTGAGGAACAATACTTGTATGACACTACAATGATAGATACATGTTGTTGCCCATTTGTCCAAACCCATAGAAAGCAACACCAAGAGCGAACCCTAAGGTAAACTATGGACTTTGGGTGATTTTGATACGTCAATGAAGGTTAATGAATTGTAATAAATGTACCACTCTAGTGAGGGATGTTAATAATGGTAAAGACTATACAAGTGTGAAGGCAAGGAGTATATGGAAAGTCTCTGTACCTTCTCAATTTTGCTGTGAACCTAAAACTGCTCTAAAAAATGTAGTCACTTTCCTTACTTCACTGTGTGATCAGAGGCTTCAATGCTCATAAAAATCCAAAACCTCCTCATTTTATAAATGAGAATCCTGAGAAAAAAAGGGTTGAAACTTAGTGGCCAAAGCTCCACTGGTGGTCAGCAGAAGAGCTGGGGCCCTGACTCTTGGTTCTAAATGAACAGCTTCCTGGTCTCCTTGCTCTGCACTATTGCCTCTGGCAAAGAGTGCTTCCAAAGATAGATTGAATAGAGTTTTAAACACAATGTTCTTAAAACCCTTCAGGGAAAAGATCAAATAAGTATGCTAATTCAGACCTCTTTTTTTCTCCATGAATATACAGAGCTATGTGATCCAATAGTGTACATTCCTAGTACGTCTGTGTCAGGTCTGCCTCACATCATCTGTACTTGGTTGGGGCAGAATTCAGGAAATATCAACAGCAATAATAGTCATTTCTCAAATAAACTAATAACTTTAAAAAATTGATGATGTTTTGGTCAGAAAATAAGTGCCCCTTCAGGGAAAAGCAGCTGGTTCTACAAGACCCACTTCTGCAAGTTTGCATGGCAAGGAGAATGCCCAATTTGTGTCATTACTATTAAAATCAGTAAATCAAGAATGTTTGCTTTAAAAACAGAATTGATGGTGCTAGCATTCAGTAACCACTTTTGGTGGCAGGTTTGCTGGATGGGTGAGTGGCTGGAATACTAGCAGCCCCATTAGGGTTTCTTAGCCGTTGGGCTGACTACTTACACTTGCAAACAGATAGGCAAGAGGCAAGCAAAAACCATGGAGGCAATATGTCTTCTTAACTTAAGATTTTTGTTTTGTTTTGTAATTCCAACCTCTAGTTTTGCCTCTATTTGATTCTTCAGTAAGGAAACTTGAATTGTTTTGCATTTGCTCTTGTTTAAAGTCTATGTACATACAACAAAGAAAAGTAATGTAGAAAAAAATATTTCCCATTGCTTAAGGTTCTTGTGTGTGTGTGTGTGTGTGTGTGTGTTTTAATTTTTTCTTTCTCTTTTCTTGTTTTTAAGAACAGAAAATCTCCATTGTTACAATCACCGGTCATTTTGGAATCATCTTGTGAATTATGCCAATGGTAATCCCTTTAGAAAGATAAAAATTTTTTAGGTTTTTGCCAATTGAAGTATTCAGTGTAAAAACAGATTTCTCCAAATTTAGCAAATTGTTGGTTCATTTACTAACCATGTTTGTTTCACGTATTTGCATTTGTCAGACAAACACTGAGAATATATATCTTAATTTTATTGCAAAACTACCATTTCCAGGCATACCGTGAAATTATAATTTATGTTCCTGAGATTTGTGTAGTTTTAGAATGATCGTTTCAATTTAGCCCTAGGTACTTCATACCATTATGCTAGGAACACTTCCAGTTTAAACATATATAATTTATTTTAACAGATTTTGCTTGGAGTACACAAATGAAATGTAACAGTCATTACAGAGATTGTCGTAGTTCATTTACTTAACATGAATCCATGTCCTCGTTTCCTTTATTCTGTGCTTGACTTTTGGCTGGGCTTCTGTTCTCTGCTTTGATGCAAATTGCAGGTTGAAGGAGACTCCCAGCATGAGGTCCCTTTTTGGATAATCCTGGCAAATGACACATGTGCATTATTCAAATATTCTGTATATTTTATTTTTTAAATGTATTTTATTGATTTTTTTACAGAGAGGAAGGGAGAGGGATAGAGAGTTAGAAACATTGATGAGAGAGAAACATCGATCAGTTGCCTCCTGCACACTCCCCACTGGGGATGTGCCCCCAACCAAGGTACATGCCCTTGACCGGAATCGAACCTGGGACCCTTGAGTCCGCAGGCTGATGCTCTATCCACTGAGCCTAACCGGTTAGGGCTCTGTATATTTGAGATAGTTCCTTCTGAAAAATCACATTTCCAAATTGATCATTCCTCCATTTCTAAGCCCTTTACATGTGGAACCCATCTTTGCTGAAAAACCCCCAAACAGCCTTGATCTTGAGAGCTTTCCTCCTTGGAAGATGACAGCTTGGTATTTTGAAGTTATTTTACCTTTATTCAGAAAGTGATTCAAAACTCAACTTCTAATTAGAGTTCCCATTTTCTCTCAAGCAGAACAGATCAAACAAACTAAGGTGGAGATTCTACATGTCACAGCTCTGTGTTTTCAGCAG